GTTCCAAGCTTGTACTGCTCGACAAAATTCTTCATCAGCAAGTAGTTTATCGATTTCATCGAACGTTGTATCGGTATTCGTTCTTCTTCCATAAATAAACAAAACAGGTGGAATTTACAAATGTCTACTAAAGAGCTGGTTGCATCCATCAAATTAAATGCCAGAGAGCTCAAGACGGTCTCATTTTGTCGAGAAATGTTGTCATCTTCGCAGCACAGAGCCGAATCCTTTAAATTTTGTATTACTGATTAACGAAAAACATTTTCGTTTTAAAACCTCTAAAATTTTCGTTGAAGTTTTTCAGAAATCCTTAGCTTCTCTTACTTTCCCAAACTCAAAAATTTCGATTTATACTGCCAAAGCAACAAGGTCAGTACCTTTTTCTTTCATCGAGTCAGTACCTTTCTCCAAATTGTCGTAAATATTCTGTGTTAACTAAAGGGCATCCGTAATTCTCGAACTAGGACGACATGTTCGATTGATGTGGTGTACAATTAAAGAACTACGCTAAGGAAAAATACATTTGGCAAGAGATGTCTTCGTTCACTTCCCCTTTTCATATATCCTAATGAAATTTCCAAAAATTTGTTGCCGAATGCATGACGATAAGACATCATTCTCACGCTCAAATAACATCGCAATGCATTTTTGACCTTTTGTACCGCATAGTCTGTTTTATGTTCTAGATTTTACAAAATATGTTTTTCTCTCTCTTACAAAGAATGTCTATTTCTCTCGCTCTCTCTCTTACCAAAAAAATGTATTTTACGCTCTCAGTTTATTTCTTCAGTCATATTCCTTTTAACCTTACATCGCGTTAACGTTGTTCAACAAAAAAATACAAAAGGTAAGCCGTTTTCGGTTCTCTTTTCTTCTACTCCGAGTCGTCATCATCGTCGCTATCACTCTCGTCCTCTTCTTCGACTTCGTCAATTTCTGCATCACTGCTGTCATCGTCATCTTCTTCCTCCTGCTCATTGTCAAGATAATCGACATCGTCCTCCTCCCACACATCTTGTCCCATTTCATCAACGGCCGACTTTTTCACCGTCCGAGCAACATCGCACAATTCGTTGTTCCCCAAATATTCGTACGGTATATAGCAATAACCTTTGTCACCCTAGTGAGAGTAAGAAATGCGATGAAGCTTCGCATTAGTAGTTAAAAGACTCACCCAATCTTCTCCCATGAATTTCTCACGATAAATGCTTTCGACGTACCACTATAGCCAGCTGCTAGGACAGCATGCCTAGAACCACATAATAAAGTAAATGCTCGATTTTTACAGTATGCCTAGTTTCTATTCTACGCTGATGTGAAATGAAATATCCCCAGTCTTCCAGGACTTCTATTATGCTAAAATGAACCAAGCTCCAGAAGGGGACTGGAATTTCTATAAGCTTCTAACAGTGATTTAGATTTAGCAAAAAAACAGTTTTAAGATTTCTTGTTATGTGTTTTCCACCAGAAAATCATGTTGCCAGAGGCAGCTTCTCTCTGACATGCTTCAATGAATATAAGAAGTAAGTTTACCTTGCATGTGTAGATCGAACGACCTCATCCTTTTTTGGCATAGGAACGAGTCCTTTGTCTCTTGCCTTGTCGAATGACTTGTACAAATTGAGACTGATGATAATGGGAAATCCTTGAGCGAGACAAGCCTTCATTTCGTACACATCGATATCGACTTGGAGTGCCTCGGTGATTGTGTACTCTTCGGCTGCTGCATAACACTGTTTATGGGGTTTGACATTGACTTTTTTGATATCGTACGGCCATAGCGATTCGAGACAGACACCCGACTCTTCCATGGTCTCGATTGCATAAGAGATGGAAGACCTATTGTCGGTGATCTTGGCATTTTCTTTGATAGCCTTAATTCGACTGTTATAGTAGATGAAGAGACGACTAACATCGAGTGACGATCTGTAGCCTTGTTGTTCAAGTATTCATAGGCTCCAGCTATGGCATTTGCCGTGCTGGAAATAGGCCAACAAGATAAGATGAGTGTTTTGTGAAAGAGAGACTTGCACTAAAGCCTATCTTTGCCACGCTCTAAAAAGACTCTTGACTAGATAGAGGGAGACAATTCTCTTCATCATCACAGGGCTCTACTCTGAATTTTTTACCAATGACCAAAAGAAATCAATTTTGTTCAGAATAGTCGATCGGTACGACCCTCGTATGCTTGTCGACAAGTTTATCACCCCTGCAAGGCATGACAGTCCTGCTTACTTGTAATATGTCGATTACAAGACAACACAAAAGGATAGGAAAAAACAACAGAAACGGTCGCAAGCAAGGAAGGATAGTCGTAAAGAAGGCTAGTTATATCCAAAGAAAAGTCAAAATGTGTACCATGAGTGAAACGAACTCAATGCAAACAAAACAGAGTTAAAAGAAATGTTTGTATGTGTTAAGTGTTCGAACGATATTCGTTTTGTTGTTTCTGGTAAGGCGATGGTTAATATAGCAGCGATATGGTCAATTTTCAATGAAAGATGACGTCAGTTTATGCTTGACAATGTATGCAGCACGGTGAATCATGTGTAGGCGACGATTTTCGATGGCCTTGATCACGGAGGCATGCCAATCAGATTGGGACGTGTGGTTCGAAGATAACTTTTTCTTTTGGTCTAGTACAATTGTCACAAAGTTGTCTGCCATTTTACCACTAGTGATAACAGCTTGATTAATAATATCATATTTGTACTGAACTAGTGTCGCAAACGGATTATGTGTGGATAATGTATTTTGTTTCATGTCATCGTTTGCTTGTTGTAACATTGTATCAATGTTGTCAATCATATGATCAACTAGCGTGTGGGCTGGTGACGATTGTTTCGATATAAGACGATGCTCCAATAGAGCAACTTGTTCGTCCATCAATTTTTGCTTTGCTGTTGCTTGCCAGATGTGTGTTGCTGAACGAATCTGTCAATAATCAAGGATCAAGACAATATTGAAAGAGAAAACCTACATAGCTTTTGTTCGAACCTGTGTTTTCATTGGCTTCAAATCATAGAATGCTTGAACGAAACGATGATCTGTCGCATCGTAGATCAATATTTTTCGTTTATATTCGAAATCATCTCGTAATCTTTGCTGACTCTTACGAATGAATGTGGCAATCATCGAGAGTAATGCATTTAGTTCCATAGAATTGTCATTTTTGTATGTCCAAAATTGAGAGGTGTCTGTGTTACAAATAATTCAACAGCGTTTTGTGCCTCCTTTATTTGTTGTTGAATCCTATTGCGACGTTGTTCGATCATCGTTTTCGACCGACCATAAGTATGACATATGGCATTCTTCTCAGCAAAATGTTTTGGCATATGACCCTTCCAAATATTGTATGTTGTACCGACATGTTAGTAATAGTTCCATTGTTCTTGTTGTAATTGTACGAAGAACAATCGGTCAATCAAGCTAGCATAGTGACGAGCAAATTCAGTTTTCTCGTTTCCATTCAGTAATTCAGCAACTTGATTTGTATCATCCATGTTTGTCAACAACATTGTAATAAACATGTGATTGGATATATTCGTATAGTCCGGTAATTCATCAGTCCTTGTCGACACGTTCTCGAACAGCTGATCAGTCGTGAGTATTTTTGTCGTGTGTACACAGACTTTACGAATCGAGCTCTTCTTTGTTTTCTTCCGCTTATTCTTCTGACTCTTTATCTTCTGCTTCCATGTAAACATATAGTTTTCGTCGTGTTCCGCTATTGGCAAGATCTTTGAAAATAAAGTAAGACATCATTATATCGATTTGTTGAACGTTAGGTCGACATGAAGAAAGCTTACTTCATTCACAGATGGATTTGCTGTTTTAACATGTTGTTTCATGATGTTGCCATGTTTGCTCATGTTGTTATTGGCCGACGTAGTGGTCAAAGACGAAATGTCTACCGAATTTTTGACTTGTTTACAGAATTTCTGACGATAAGGATCCAGTTTTCGATTACTCTGGTTGTTATTTTTTTCCAATTGTTGTTGCTGTTAATCTGATCCAGTGCAACATTGATTCGGTGAAATGTGACTGCACCAATGACCCTGCGCATTCGGAGATGATGCATGATTGCCCATTACATGGTTACCGCTATTGAAGTTCATTATTGAAATATTATCTTTATCCTCGTAAAGAATAGATCTGAAACAGAAACGGAAACATGTAACCAACAGTTCTTCCTAAAATTATAGCTATAGAACCAATGAGTAACATGAAAAGCATCAACAATAAGAGATGAATGGTCAATACAACCAATATATCAGAGGTGAAAGTATGACTAGTTTTTCTCTGGACTCTTTTATTTATACAATTCAAAGTTTATCTGTAGATACTATATATGCTGTTAAAATCAAAATAATCGACCATACACTTACGTACATATTTAAATACTCTTTACTAGTGATCACTCACAGGTTACCAGCTATACTATACATAAATGTCGAGCTTATTTTAACGTCGACACAAAGTGTGCGACGGGTCCTTTACTAGCAATGCTAGTGATAAGATACCAAAGACGATGTTGTATAACTCTCTCGAGCGGTTAGAACGAGGTTTTTGTTTCTCTACATGAAAGGTCGGCAGATCGAATACTTGAGCTACGACTAATCGCGACTTCGAAAAAACCGCGATTGTACCGGGGAAAACCGCATTCTGTTTGTGGTTTGCGCACAACCGCGGTTAATCAATCCACGCAGTTGATCGCAGCTCAATGCCAAAAACGCGATTCTTACTAATGAAATCGTGATTATAAATTCAAATCGCGAGCAACTACATGCGTTGGTTAACCGCAGTGTCCTAACAAAACGCGGTTTTGGATAAGAGGACCGCGATTTAGAAGGTTTTTTAGCGAGAAAACGCGTTTAGCTGCGGTTTTGGAACCGAAAAAATACTCATGGGTAGCTGGTTCCGTTCTAGAGTTATTGATTTTACAACCGAATCCACTGTATTTTTGAATGGATAGTAGTTTAAAAGTTTAATGTAAATCTGTGTGATATTAGATGAATATTTTTACTTATTGTTGACACATTGGTAATGTTTTTTGTATTTTATATGTGTTACTAGTCGTACGGCGTATTTATAACCATTGTGTAAATATTATGATGTTAAGTCGTGTTTTTTATAATATACACAATATTTAATGACCATAATTTTCGCAGTAAATAAATAATAAAACTAATATATTATATAGTCAAATAAAATGCAAAGTACTGCCGATAGGCAAGAACTGTAATGGCAGAAACGATACCAGAGTATAATTATACATTTAAACACTTCCTCTTAGAATAATTTGATGTAATAATATGCAAAATATAACTATTTGCACGTTTTTAGGAAGAAAAGTATCTACTTCTTTGCATTAAACTATTCTATAAAACCTGATCAAGTCTGCTGCTGCTTTGTTATTTTGTTGACAGCAATCGAGGTAGGTTGTTTGAACAGAACATTCAAAATGGCAGTATAGTCACTTTGTCCTACAAAATAAGACTTTAGGATTTTATGATATTCCTTGTGGGTATTGCACGGTAAGCAAAAAAAGAGCAAAACCGATAACGCGATAATAATAACATAGACGATGTGATTAAAGATTCAAAAGATGTTCAATCTACTAGAAGCTTCAAATATCTCATCGGGATTTGAACGACGATCAAAGTTACTTTCTACAGATCCCATAGCAGAAAACACCCAATAGTACGACTGACTGACCGTTTAATCAGATAGTTGCGTTCTTGTAGGTAATTTAAAAACGAGAACGGAGTTGTTCATCTAACCATTATAAAACAGAACGCTTACTACTATTACTACTATCATTAGACCATAGTAAAAAGTGCACAATTAGCAAAAATAATGTAATTAAGCTGTATTAAAACACTTTTTGTTCATAAGTTTTACTATTGCATTTGTTTGTGTTTCACACATTTTGATTTAGTGAATACGGTTCTACGGTACAATGTTCAACTTAAAGTTTATAATGCCATTTCCGATTATGTTCATAGTGATTATTCTTTTTTTGGCGGTATCAGTTAATGCTGTATGTTATTCGCTTGGCTGGGGTGGTTGTACTGGTAGTTGTACCGAATATGGCGCCGGTTACTACTGTACAAATTTTGGTTGGGCACCGGCTAATAACAAATGCCGATGTGTTAACAATAAGTAAAAATATTCATCTAATATCACATAGATTTACATTTAACTTAAACCACATTTCCCGCTTATCCTCGTTTCATTCCGACTCTTCATCTCTCTTTATTAGACTCCACTTATTTTTCATCGATAAACAGTTCTTTTTGCTATTATTTCATTTCGCTTCAAACGCTTTTTGTAGTTTGTGTCACAAATAAACTGTCAAAGCTGATCAATTATCGATTTGTTAACGGTCTTGTTAAACTATAGGGTGTCCTCTCATTTCGTCCCATGGTTTAGTCTCAGTTCGTCCCAAACTGACTTCTCAATTTGTCCCACGAAGTTTTTATTCTCAGTTAGTCCCAAGTAATTCCTCCCAGAAGTTTGTTTCTCAGTTCGTTCCATATCAATTTACACTTAATTAGCTGTAATATAATTGCCAGTACCTCTTGCGTATATATGACTGAATATATGAATATATTTTTGGAATGGATAGTGTGTCCTCTCTCGCACGTTTTTCCATATTATCAACAATGTCAATGAGGACTTTGGTGGTATCTGGTCTGCATGTGTGTGCTGATTCATTACGTAAAATTCTCACATCGTCTGTACATAATGATATTGTACTTGAACACCTGCGATCCCGACACCGCCATTGATTATTTGTTTTGTTTGCTCGTTTTTGGTATATTGATACCCATTATGATTCAAAACTCTTTTTCAGTAGACGTGAAAACTAACATTTTGATGAACAAACCAATTTGACTTATTTAGATTTAAATTTGTGATAGTAATTGCTAACACGACACATTTTGCCACGTACACGCACCTTGTATTGTCTACAATACCATCACCGTCGACTAAACTGTTCGATGGTACAACACTTTATTTATTTTGAGGCGCGAGGAAAGAAATCTGGGACGAATTGAGAAAAAAATATATCGGACGAACTGAGAGATAACTGTTGATGGGACGAACTGAGAAAAAAAGTTTCGTGGGACGAATTGAGAAGTCCACGAACTGAGAGGGTCTCCGTTCCATGAAGCTTTTTTTGTCAGTTCGTCCCACTACCACGAACTGACGTTCTTAGTAATTCGATCCTTGATTAGTCAATCATTAGCGTGTATGACAGCTTTTCCAAAACGACCTTTTTCTCGACGGCGAGCTTGCGAATCGATGGACGTTGATGGCTCTGAAGATAATTGTACGATGGATGCTTCATAAGATATGATAATTCCAAACTATGTAGTGAATTGTGCAGTTTTGAGCTCTTCTCGTTAGGTCCTTACCACCTAAAATGTACGATTCATTGCATAGTTTGAAATTATCATATCTTATGAACCATCCATCGTACAGACTCCTGAGACCTGCCATTTTGAAGAGAACTGTTTCCTCTGATTATGCTTAATTTTCAAGAGCAAAGATATATTTATCTTTTTCAACAGTTTTTAGTCCGTTAAAAGTCAACTTTTTAGTCATACAGTTAACAGCCTATGCGTGAGTTATCAAATATCAGTTTTAATTTAGTTGGATATTTCTCAGAAAACCCACCCACTTGCCACTAGAAAGATCACACTTAATTTACTTTCCCCTCTTGGACGTTTGGATATCACGTTTCAGACTCGATTACATTATGTTCTACTTGGACTTTCTGTCAAGAATACCATGTGATCGAATCTCGCAGCGCAGGATATCGATAAAGTTTAGAAAAAGCGGGCCCTATAGGATGGATAAACCTTACAGCGCATAAGTTGCCTTCCTTGAACTTGTCGAAAAGCAGAAGAGTTTTGAAATTAAATTAGATATTTGAAATATACAGGACATCCCACTCTCATCGCGATACAAGACCTGCACCCAACAACGTACAATAACTAAATAATAATCTGTAAGTGAGAGAAAGATTTTGCTCTCAAATAATCTAGGAGAATAAGTTGGAGAAAGTACGTTTTTGGTAAATATTGATTCGATTCGTTACTAAACTTGAGCAAGAACTCAGACAAAATTCTTGAAAGAAAAGAGGTTGTTAAAGAAAAAATATTTTTTGGAAAGCAGGGGGGCATACAACCCTAACAACGAAGCATTCTGAAGAAAAACATTGGCAAAGTTGTTCGGGATAATCCTCTTCATACTCTAAGCGAAGCACTTTTTCATTTTAGTGCGTAAATGCGAGCTTCACATAGCACCTAGAGACACATTGATACTGTTTTTAATTAAATAAATCATTATTTTCAATTAAAACGCCACAAGCACACGTCTCTACGTGACATATACCAATTATCTAATGTTATATGTCTGTATGTGACATTAATACTACAATTAATTAAGGAACTAATTAATTAAACCTGAAACAACATGAAATTTTTATTTTTTTCTAAACTTATACGGTAACTGCCTGTCCCAATTTCAGTTCGTACTGAAGTTAACACATCTACTGCATTCAGTGTCTGGAAAAGATTTATTAATTCGCTAAGAAATTTTAGTCGGTACGTATTCTATCCTATGATTTCTTCCTATGAATTCTTCTTTCTTTTCGTTCTTCTTCCATAAATAGTGTAATCTATTTTGTTGTTG